CCACATTGTTTAAGCGTATGTGTCAACGAGTAAGCAAGCGCAAATGACTTGTTGTGGTCCCTTCTGACGATTTAGCCGTCACCTTAAGATGCGCTCATGGAAAACAATTCAGAACATAGTTCATGTGTGGCAGTGTATCCTTCTTAACCTCGGCACGCTATCAGTGGAACAATCTAAAGGGAACATAAGGCCGAATTCGTAGGGATTCCCTGTGTTTATTTATTTTCGTTCGCACTTCACGTCAGGTCAGGAAACACGAGCCAGCCTGCCTATAATGGAGATTGCTATTATTATTATATCGGCCGCACATAAACTAGGAGCTATTGTGGGATCAGCGTGGTCTGCCATTTTATGCTATCGGACCCAGTCTAACCGTAATTTCCGGCCGTTGACATCGCTCAGGCGGACGCTAATCATCGCTTCGGATCCAATTCAACCTCCTCCAAGCGTCCCTCCAATGCCAGCTATCCTTTGTAGTTCACCGGAAGCGGTTGCCATTCAGGTAACGAGAGTTCGTAACGCTACAATGCGGAACACACTCTGGTTACTAAAGTCGCATACGGCCCAGCAGTGAAGGCTGCTGAGGCCTACCCCACAAACAACATTTGGGCTTGCAATTAGCCGATCGGTCGAAGCTAACAACATAAATCAATCAAGGCATTCAAACCACTGACTCTGATCAGTTTGTCTTTGAGCTGCGCACTGTTTCATGAATCGTCCATGACTGAAAGAGAAAGCTCAGTGATCAAACAACAAGGGAATTTTCCTGCGAAATCAGATACCATCTATGTAAGCTGGAGTGCACATTAATCCGGACGATCGCATTTTCTGTGCAGCGGGGCCCCTGGTTGGGTGTTATATCTGACAAAAAACCTTCACAGTTATTGGCCCAATCTGTCATATGTTTTTCAAAAAACCTCCATTAACTTCGTGCCACCCTCAGATATGTAACCGTGAGTGCCTTTCAGGAGGAAGGTTAGCCACCGCTTTGGCCTTACAACTGGCAACCGCTTCGCAAAATATCAACTCAGATTTTGTACAAATTAAACCTCTCGTTATGGTGTTTTCTAAATTCACTTTCGAACCGGGACTTCAGTCACACATTGTAATGACTGTCAGCCGATCTATCGCCATAGAATTCTCAAATTCTGCGCTGGGTTCGGAGTCATACTGTAAACCATCCTTGTCAGACCACCCGTTCAGCTCACGGCACACTCAACAGAACTAATTACTCAAACGACAGAACTCATAGCCCCAGGCAAAACTCTTCTGTTTCCTTTGTTTTTATGTGAAATCGTTGAACCGGGTGACTGCAAACCCGCACGCATTGGCCAATTAACCGATGCAGTAAAGCCGCTTCTGCGCTCTCTAGACTCAGTAGAACCCATCCAATCTAATCTAACTTTCCTGCCTTTTGTTTTGACGATCTTCGTGTTGTTGACCCATTGCACTTCGACTAGTCATCCATAGGGAATTACAAGGTAAATTATCATGTTTCTGTCGCATCCTGTAGAGAATGCACAGAGGACACCTCCACGCGCACTATTCGCTACCTTAAAGGTGTCGCAGCGTATTGCAGTTAAAAAGACAACGCCTTATTCAAACCCACATTCACACCAGACCGGTGAATTCCAGTTCATTGCGGCATGAGACATTCCTGGTCACCGTGGGTAGATATGGGGTAGTAAGATATCTCTTGTGCATTAAGCCAACTGAACAATAGGACCTCTGTTCATATGTCTGGTGTTCGTCGCTTTTGATCGTTACTTAACTGGCTGGTGGTGAAAAGTATGCATTCTGCCTACTTTCTTGGCATTAGTACGCGAGTCCGACCCTAAGGCAAACGGAACTCTCTGATTCTGTCCTTTGGTTACTGAATGCCTGTTCTACTGTATGAACACGGTGGTGTTTGTGGTATCTTTCAGTTACCTCATAGATGCGAATAGAAATTATGCTTACTTCATAGTAAGGGTAACTTGAGAGTGGTGGAGTGAAGCTCCATCGTGTTAAGTTGGTCGTTCTATTTGGTGGTACTACAAGACAGCGGACGTCAACCGCTATTGTCTCGTACGTCACGAAGCTGGTTGCGACTACGAAAGCTAGTCTTTCACCTGGAAGAGGAAAAACACACATCAACATTGACTAGAAGCCAGCCTGGTAGGGAGTACGAAATGTCTCAAGTACGAAATAATGAGTCAAGGTTTTGACAGTGTGATCGTTCGACTTCTAGGTCGCCGTGACCCTTTTCCTCAAGGTAATTAAATTAGTCAAGTAAATGTAAAAACTAATAAATTCTTGGGACTATGATGGGACTCTTTTTAGGTTTTACTGGCATTTTTAAGGATGATGATGATGATGATGATGATGATGATGATGATGATGATGATGATGATGATGATGATGATGATGATGATGATGATGATGATGATGATGATGATGATGAGGATGATGACAACCGTGGGATGACAAAGGCGCTTAATGGTAATGGTGGCTGTAATAGCGACGCTGGGTTTGGTTATTTTGAGCTTTAAATGTTTTGGCATACCATCGCTCGCACGGGTTTACTGATAAACTTTCCCTTCGCAGAGTCTTTCACAAGTTGAACAAATTTCTCCCGACTATTTTACTATGTCCGCCAACAAACTACTGTGACAGAGTGTGCTCATTTCGACCCCGTGGTCGACATGAAATGAAAACTGGTAAACTGTTGGACTGCAAGCCGTATATAGCAGTGTCAGTCTTTGAGTACTTGAGGACTAATTGGAGCAGCAGTTAAGATAGACAGTCGAAAGCGCCGACAGTCTACAGCCAAAATGTTTGCTGTAAGAACAAGCAGAAACAGTAGCCTCGAATTTGTGACAGCTGCTTACCTCCTCTCCTCACCCCAATCTGAGTAGCCGGCAAAAGGGCTGTGAGTTTAGAAAATTATTTCCCTAAATTCCTGATGGTCCGTTTGCCAGGCGTTGTGCATGTCGGGTTTAACGATCACCGTAGCACACGTATTTCGGCACAAGTAAAGGCGCCATACAGCATGCCCAGCAACACAGCATAAGAAACTTACCTTCAATGACCACGGTGTGAAGTTTACTCAGTTCAGACCGTCCTGCCTTTGCTTTGCACATATAGGTGGCCCTGCAAGGCACAACATCCGACATTGGTATGAGAGTGGCGGTGTCATTGGGGATTACATAGTGTGACAAGCAGCCATCCACCCGTTTCCAGGTGACCTCATACGCGCCCCCCGTCTCAGGTGGATAGAGGCTGCATTTGATCTTCTTCAGCTGTCCCTTATACATAATCGCTTGGTCTGGATCGATGATTAGTTTCAGCTCAACTGAAAAAGTAGACAGATGTAACACTGCAGTGGCGAGTAGGCGTGTTAGATCTACTGACTTTTCGACCCGCGTAATTTCAGCATAAACAGTCCATTCGAGATTTTCCGAGATGTTTAAGACCGCTGCAATATCTTAAAGGCTACCATGACCTGGAGTACTTGGGCGTAGAAGTTTTGAGTTTTAAAGCATACCTTCTTGACTCTTAAAGACATTGTTTCCTAAGCTAAAATCATGGAGTGAAAATATCGAACATTCATCAGAGCCCGGACGTGCGAGACGGTTCGAATTTACACTACGAGTCAGAACTCTCAAAGAGAAAACTGTTAATGAGAAACTTTGCCAGCGAGAGCAACAATGCCAGAGTGGTTCTCGGGCCAATTCTAAATCCTCGTCAGTGTTTGCGTATGTCTAGCTCATAATGGCGGGTAAAGTAAAACTACTGATCCAGGCTTCTGCCCTGTTTGCAAGTAAAAATACTCTGATGAGATGAAGTTGCGGGATTGTCCTCAAGCAAATCTCAATCCTATGCTCATATGGAACCTAGTTGACCTGTAAACATTTTGGAATATGTACATCTCAAATCACTTTTACTCTCCTTATAATACGAAAATGCAATAAGACGAAGGGAAATCGTGTTGAATAACAGAAATAACAGACTTCGAGCTGTCGGCCAAATAACATTAATGGTCAGGGCATCTGATTCCCAGAATCCATTTACAGGACGTAATTACTCCTCAGGCGATGGCAATAACCAGATTTGACACGTCCTTCACGTATTAGAATGTTCCCGCATATTTAACCCACAAATTCAAAAATCATTTTAGGGTTTTCAAATGCTCTATTGGTCATTGAGCTGGCAGTGAATGGACCGAGGATGAAATCAACGTTTTTTTTCCATCGATAGGATAAGCTAGTATTTCCGCCGCGTGCATACTCATATATATATATATATATATATATGTTAAGATGGTAGCAAGTTTGTCGTTTATCTTCAGATTGGACATTCTACAAAGACAGGTCTTGGTTTTGGTTTATACCCCTTCAAAATTATCGTTAACGAATACCGCCTATCGAAATGCTGCAAAGTCGTCCCAGTCGCCCAGGACGGCTCCAGATGCAAGATCGCAGTGTTGCAACGCGTGAACCTCCCCAACGGAATGCTTAATGACATGCTTCTGAAGGTTGTTTGCCGACGGGACTTCTCGGTCCTCCTATGAATTAAACGTAAGATTAAGGTAGCCATTCTCATGCTTGTTGCACTTGAGCCCATGCAAATGAGAGACAGTAGATAGAATGACATCGGGCCCAACGCCAACTTCCACCAAACCAACAAAGCATTTCTTGGAACTATCATGACATGCTAGCACTCGTGGCTTGAAAGACTGCCAACTGATGGGTCAGACAGCAGTGGCTCCATTGCACTCTCACTCACGTGGAATTCGACACCCACTCAGTAAAGCCAATTTCGCGAGAGCCTGGGTTTGGCAAACGTGAACGTGTTGTCTAGCTTTATCAACCGGTACGTCCAAAACCATCACCTATCGTCTTGATTTTGCCTCGCAGTCGGAAGACGCAAGTTACCACTCAGCAGTGAGAGGTGAGGATGCTGACGGCAACAGTTTAACACTATTGCCAGTAAGTCCACTTTGTCAGACAGCGCATAAGCTCGGATACCGCCTTTCTGGTGACGCTAAACGAATTGTTCTAAATTGCAGGCCAGTTGTCTTCAGTGAGAGCATGCGTTTTTTGTGGGTTAGGGCTGTCGTTAGTTCGTTAATCTGAAAGAAGAGCATTGCAGCACTACTCTTTATGTTTTAACGTTTAGACTCAAGAGACTGTGAATAGCAGGGGACTTACCAATGATTCTGAATGACTTGTGAACTTCGATCCTTTGAAGAGGATTTAATAAATAGCATTTGTATGTCCATGGTCCCTCTATTAGCTTCGTCAACTTCATGGTGTTGTTTGTGATATTAAAGGGGTGAGTTTGATGCCTGTTGCTGTACTTAATCCTGATGCGATCTTGCAGCAGAGAGCTTGATTTCAGTTTGCAGGTAATAATATCTATGTCTAGGGTAGTTATGTCGCCAACATCCGGAACAAAAATGAGTTCACTACTTTCTAAAAGGAAGAAATGGCGTTGACATGCAACTCAATAAATCACTTGCGCAAGATCATTGAGCAAATAGGCGTTTTCAGGAAATGGAGCATTTCCCAGAGCCTAGCGTCCAAAAGGTGTAGTAAGTAGTAACAGGTGCAAATTATTTCATAGTTTTTCGGCGTTTCTGATTAACAAGGTTATTCTCCACATCTTTAGGTATTTCGTCTCTGACTGTTGTCGACTCTTCCTGGGCCCGAGGTTTCTATGAGACATTCGTTTTTTTGTCAAATCCGACCTTTTTTAGACGTCACACAACTACGTAGTGCGGGCAGATCTCAACGCCATTTTTCAGTAAAGTGGAGACAAGCAACGCTCTCTCTTTGCAAGCATCTTAATGTGACGTTGTAGAAACGAGATGGAGTAAGCAAGTGCAGTGAAAAAAACCACGAGAAACGACGCTACTTCAGACAAACGGGACTGCATCCGCAGCCTGGAAAAATATCTTATCACTGAGAATGAGAGGTCATCGTGGCAGTCCGCCGATTGCTTGAACTTCTTGGGATAGTGATGGATGACAAAAGAAGCGCAATCAGACCACGTGTGGCACAACTCAAGAACCCTTTGCCCCATACGGTGAATTGGCTCATGGTCTACGGAATCATCTGCACTCACGGCGCCAGTAAAGTAGGAAAAAGCTACCCACTCGAACCCCAACTGACGGCAGACTGTAATGCTCTGAAAGTTCCCAGGTTGCTTTGACCTGTTCAGCCAACGTTAGGCTGCCAAATCCAATCACGCACAGTAAGAATCCTGCTACGAATTGCTGGTTTTGCAAACCCAAGACTGAGTATGGCTACCCGCAGACAGGTAATAAGCCAGAAATAGCCATCCACATCACCCTCCTCGTCTTTGTTCTAATCTGCGGACACGAGATAAACTGTTCGCGGTTTCCCTAGAGAATTTTCCCGTGTGAAAAACGATTCCGCTAACTACGGTCAAGTTCCATAGCTCATTTCTGCGAACATGGTGCGTAGAGTAAATAACTGAGGTGACACACTAAAAAAGACTAAATTCTTCACTTACCGATAAATGTAAATGTGCGTGACATCACCGGATTATTGTAATACAAGCATTCATATGTTGCATCGGCGCCGTTCTCTATATTAAAACGTAGGAAGAGAAGGTTTGCCCTGTGCAAAAACATCCTGACGCCAGAGCTATGACGCCACATCATTGCGTGCATGGTGTGTGTATTGTTGCGATATTCACAAGCGATGACGGGCGGCTCGAGATCCCCAAAGATGAAATTGAAGTCTGGTCGAATATTCACTTGATCCAGCACTGAGGGCAGAGCTGGTAGAGGAGAGCACAAATTACGAAATTTCATAAATACCCGGGCGGAATAAAGCGTACCAAGTGGCATTTATAATTACTCAATGAATCGTTTGTTGTGGGTTCTGAATAACTACTAAAAATGGTCCACAAGGCCTGAACGGCAAGTAGGCGCTCATTGAGTTCGACAGGCACTCCGACTGCCTATCTAAGACAGGGGGATAGAAGGAATATATTCCAGATTTATGAATCGAGGCAGGTGCAATCTGGTCAGTAGGGATGAACTATTTGTTTCTAGGCGTTCGTGGACTAGCATTTATGTCAGGCAAGCTGGGAGGTATTTCTGTCTATAGGCTGCATATTGGATTATCTCCAAGAGAAGTGTCATTCCGAATTCCAAAATCCGGAGGCGTCCCGGACATGAGGTATGAAGAGGGTGACTATCACGGCAGAGTATGGGAGCTGGTCTGCACTCCCCAGTATCTTTCTAAACCTTAATCAACCTTTCCTACATTCTAGCGTTATGTTCATTTCCCTACTCTTCCATTGAATCTGATAATTGTTCACCTCAACAGCCCAATTTTCATATCCAAACTCATAAAGCATTGACCTACGTTCTTCGGCACGTTTTCCAGTGAAAAGATTACCTACGATAGATTTAGATACTGCTTGACAGGCAACATGATCCCATGCCAACCCATACGCCTTAGTAGGCTGGATTTGGGGTTGAACACTTTTCTAGAATAGAGCCGGAATGTTGTCGAGGACAAAACCGAATGAAGTCACGATCTGGAAAAACACGACCAACCACGGCAGGCAGGGCTAACTGCCAAATGAAGCCCTTAAATCAGATACCTAATCAGAAGATTATCGGGCAGACCAGATGCCTATGTTCACGCGTGCGTCTTATGAGTGAATGGTCATTCCCCATTTTCCCTCGAGAGGGTTACAATGCCAGGAACAGCCAATCAACGCGATCGGCACGCCAGAGTCTAGAGTGTTCTAAAACTGTTAGTCGTCAAATAAATACGAAGAATTTTGTCACGCCGAACTCGTGTCAGTCAGGTTGGCAGAATTAAGAGGTTATTCCCAGCACTCGGCTTTGTCAACGCTAGGGTAAAGGACCCCTCCAAGGATCAATAACTGGGATCGTGACGGCAAAGAACGGGAGACAGGATCTTCCATATCTGGCATATTAGCCATTTTCAATCGACATGTTGGTGCATGGGTAAATTTTGTCAAGGCAGAATAGCTCAGATCGATTCGCTGAGAGGAAGAAGACTTAAAAGGGCAGTAGTGGTGACGATTAGGAGCCACGTGCCAGGTTGAACTCGGTCGAGCAATGATATCAGGTAGACTGACGGCGGAAAGTGGGAGTAGACTGATAGAGTCCTGTTTCAGGTGAAAGTTCCTTTCATTGGACCAATCAAACGGACCACTATCGGCATTTGGAAACGCAAACATGCGCTTCGTGCCGTCGGAGGGCAATGACGGTGGCGAGTGTTGCTCTCCTGTGCTCCAAGTGACGGTCTGTAGCGGCAAAGACAAGCTCGAGCGTTGACCGGTCTCACCGGAAACCTGTTGCTGGTGACTCAAACACGCGCAGCTCCAGAAGATAGGCCATGCGCACTTCATCGAACCTACGTTAATCTGGAACTCATCACATGACATTTTCTTCCGCTAACCAACAATAGACTCGACGTATTATTTGCCAGGGCGCGGATATTGGTTGATTCGTTCTCACCTGGATACGGGTGATGTACAGTGAGTGACCTATCTCATGAAATGTTGGCTGAGATTCTGAAATGCGTTTTCGATTAGGAAGGATTACTTGATCGCGGTTGTAATACTGACTATCTTGCGGCATACTCTTATAACAATTCAGACTTGACAAAACGTCGGCTTTTAAAAGCACTTATTTAAATCTCCTGTAGAAAGCGTGCTCGGTAAATATGACTACTTAAGTAGCATGCATTTTTCCCATTAATTTTCGATGGTCTTGCAAATTAAAATATATTTTATAGAAACCATGAATAAAAATATGCTTTCTTTTAGTCAATCAATAGAGAATCACATCTTCTTTATATTTTATACTTAAGGAAGGAGTATAATTAGGTTTTAAAAAAGTTTCTGATTATGAGGCTTTTTAAGACCGCGAAATGTCAATTCACATAGCATCGTACCTGGCCGTTTACCACTGCTCCTCATGAAATGAGCAACATGGTCCGCATCCATTGCAAAATTTTATGGACTCTCTATGATGTCTCTTTAATGGCATGTAAAAATATGTGATTTTCTTTACGCGGAACGCATGCACCTTGCAGACTGAAATTACTAAGCGCTAATGCAACGAATGATCAGGCTCCAAAATATTCGGCAATTGGAAAACTTTTTTAAAACCTAATTATACACTTTCCTTAGGTATAAAATGTAAAGAAGACGTGATTCTCTATTGATTAACTAAAATAAAGCATATGTTTATTCATGATTTCTATAAAATATATTTAAATTTACAAGACCATCGAAAATCAATGAGAAAAATGCATGCTACTGAAGTAGTCAATTTCTCCTGAGAACGCTTTCTACAGGAGATTAAAAAGAAGTGCATTTAAAGGCCGACATTCTGCTGAGTCCGAAATGTTATAAGAGTATGCCGCAAGATAGTCAGTATTACAACCGCGACCAAGTAATCCTTCCTAATCGAAAACGCATTTCAGAATTTTAGCCAACGTTTCATGAGATAGGTCACTCTCTGTACGGTTCTATAACGGGATCTCACGCGTATGACTGTACGGCGTTGTACCGCATACGGGCGGGAAAAATTATTCAACTCCAGATGCAGCCCAATTGTTTTTTTCCTCCATAACTATGACCGTAGTCGTCTGCGTAAAGTATGCCTGCAATTTAAACCGAGACGTTGTGGAGTAGTGAAACACCAGGCAACACCGATGATGTCTGGTCCAAAAAATTGGTGCTTTGGTCATTTCGCGTTTCCAGCATCGTCTGAATTGTATTCTGCCATGGCCAAGTCAAAAGACTTAAGCAGACTGCATAAATACACTGGGGGTTTGGGATTCAATATCCAGACGGTGGCTAGCACATCATATCCTACTTTTCCCTGATTTAGGCATATTAACCTAGTCGACTTTTCTCAACCGTCTTCAAACAGACATACCCTGAGATTTGACTCAAACCCAGTTGACAATTGAACTTAACCCCTTCCGTGATGGGTCACCGGATCACGCCTTTTAAAGTCACCGGCGATGATGCTCATAAATGCTTCCATTGCTGGACGAAATATGATTTTCCCATTTGGTTTCGAGAAGCCTCGGTCTTAGGTACAGTGCGTGACCTATCTCATGAAATGTTGGCTGAAATTCTGAAATGCGTTTTCGATAAGGAAGGATTACTTGGTCGCGGTTGTGATACTGATTATCATAAGGCATACTCTTATAACATTTTGGACTCGGCAGGATGTCTGCTTTAAATTGCACTTCTCTTTACTCTCCTGTAGAAACCGTACT